GGCTGGTGCCCACCAGTGACCTATATACAGTATATGTATATTTTCATGGACACTTCAATGCTCCTTGTTGATTTGGGGTGTTATTTTTATTTTATTTATTTTATTTTTTTAGCTATTCTTGTTGTTGTCATTGTCTTTGTGTTATTATGTACTGTATACAAAGTTTTGAAAATCAATAAAATAAAATGAAAAAAATGTTTGTCTGAATTGCTGGCCTTTTAAAGACACAGGTCTAGCAGTAACATACTGGCAAATTTCATCAGAGCAACCACCTCCACATACTCAGTTTCCTCTTTAGTTATATACAAATTCATCATATTTTAAGATTATTAATGTGTCCAACTGTCAACTTCCATCCAGCAGCTGTTTCATTTAATCTTTCCATGCTTGTGAGAAAAGCAAAACTCACCTCCACAGTGAGTGAGACCGTAGAGGATGTATCCCTTGTTGCACAGACACTCAAAGCTACCTGGGTAGTTGATACAGGTGTGGTCACAGGCCCTCTCAAAGGAGCACTCATCGATGTCTGAGGATGAAATATGTTGTGGGCAATTAGAAAAAAATGACACTCCTTCTGACTTTTAAAKAATAGGCTTCACTTCATGTTTATTTACAAAGAGCAGCATATTATTACAGCCAACTTTCAAAGAAATGCACCTCCAAGGGAAAATTGCTGTATATCATTTTCCAAATCTAGAAAAAAAAAACACATCAGTGGAAAATCCTGAAAAAAATACATTTTAAAAAGTTAGGGAAAAATACCAAACGTTAGGCTGATGGTCTTTGTGGCCCTCTGTGAACAATAGGGGTAATTATAGTGATCTTTAGGCTGATGGTTCTCTTTTTTTACATGTGAACAGTGTTGATCATCATCGTTAACCGTGTTTGTCCACCATYTGGAGGCAGTGATTAGGCTGAGTTCACCTGAAACTCAGACTGAAGAAGTCTCTTGGAGGAGAGACAAAATGTTTTTTCAACATTGTTTCAACCCCAATTTATACTGCGTCTGCTCTGCTCCTCTGCAAAGCAGAAGCATGTGAATGAAATGCAAGAYGGCATGATAAAGCCTGTGATAAATGGGGAAGTCAGACCAAAACAAATCATTATGTGGAAGATGCACTCCACACAGCAGTTATAACTGCATCTCTGTTGTCTGTTTGAAACTTCTGATTTCCATTTCCATATCCTGCATGTTGCCATCTGCTACCCAGTCAGAATAATGCATTTTGACASCATATGTGTATAAATATGTCCACAAATTTATTAAAGGGCCAATATACTGTATGTGTTTCTCAGGCATACATTTAAATACTATACCATAATAAAGTATCTCTGTCAACTTTAGCTGTTATTAAAATGCTGTCTTTATGTTTAAATAGAAAATAAACTTAACTTCTCATCACTTCCACTTCTAAACGCATTGAAATTGGCCTCTGTCTCTTTAAGAACCACCTTTGCTTCTGTCTCGCCCATTTCGGTGCAGTGGGGTGGGGGGGGTGGCATAATGTAGTTTACTTGGCATCTGAAAATACATTTCCTCAAAGGTATTTTTAATCTGAAAAGAGCTTCACTGRRYGRGAACTAATGTTGAGAGCTCAGCAGACAGTTAGGTTTCACTTTCACTTTCACCCGAGAGCCTGCAAGAGTCATGGGCGGAGGTGTGTGGGGAGGTGGGAGGGGGTGTGCTCTGTCATGAGGAAGTTCGGCTTAAAGACACGTCCCAGGGGCGTTTCTGGTCCCCACCTGTCG